ACAGCCTTTTACAAGTAACAGCTATTAGGATTACAAACAGCTATTTGTCTGTGCTCATTGTGAGTTCACATTAGGAATGAGTCAAAAGGATAAACCCAAGGCATGCAGGTTTGGCAGCATTCTTGTTTGTCATTTATTAGTCAAGGGGAGGCTGGTTTCCTGCTGTGGGTTACAGCCCATTCTCCAACTTCTGTGCAGATGCAGGGCATGGGTGGTGTGCTTGAGAGTTGCAGAAGATCCTTGCTGTGTATCCGCTTAACAGTTGCTGAGTGCTGAGTGCTGACTGTGTGCCAGGCGCTGGCTAGCCCCCAGACATTCACAAGTGAGTAGAGAAAGACATAGTCCCTGCCCTTAAGAAGCTCACAGTCTAGTGGGAGAGTCAGATATTAATCAGAAACTCTCCCAATAACTTGAATTATAAGCTGGTGTAGGTGTCATGAAAGAAAAGCCATTGGTGTTAGGAGGGTTCAGAAGGGAAAACTGACCTAGTGTGGGAGTCACGGAAGGCTGAGATCTGAAGGATGACATCCACCAGAAGAAACTACATAACCAGACAAAAGCAGGGAGGTGTAATGCCGGGGATTCTCTAGGCAGAGGAAACAGCATCCACGTAGGAGTACTTGGCTGCCTAGAAAACTCCATCTTGTTTCGTGGGAATAGCCTTCTTACCCATGGAAGGCACCACAGCTTATAACATCTGCCATCCTAAGACCATTTCAAAAGTTGACTCCTTTATGAAGCATTCCTCAAACTCCACAGTCAGATACAACTATTTTCATGCTAGTTCTTCTCTTGTATATCTGATATAATATTGAGAGAACCCTGTGTTTTGAATCTGAGAGGCAGCATGAGCCTATGGAGCTGGGCTTTCTGAGTTCAAATGCTGACTCAGCTATTTATTTGCTGTGTGATCTTGGGCAAGCTGCTTAACATCTTTGTATTTCAGTTTTGCCCTTTGTAAAATAAGCATGTTAATGGTGCTTTCCTCATAGGTTTGCTAGGAGAACTAATACATACAAAGTCCTTAGTTCAGTGCTTGGCACTTAGTGAAACCTCATTAATGTAACCTATTGTTGTTATTTAGTTCTGAGAAATGTCTATTTCCTTGTTAGTTTTGCCCAAGCACTTAGAACTGATAAGAGTTTAATAAGGAACTCCACCCATTTCTATGAACATCTTGTCTAGTGTACATCCTGGAATGTGGGGCTGCTTTCAATCACAGTACCTCTCAAACTTTATGTGTATTTGAATAACCTAGGAATCTTGTTAAGATGCAGATTCTGATTCACTGGACTGAGATGGGGCCTGACCTATATTTCCAATAAGGTCCTGGGCGATATTCATGCAGCTGGTCTTTGGGGCACACACTGAGTGTCCAAAAATCTGAGTAATCCCCAGAGTCATTTCTGCATAGTATAATCATTAAGCTTCACAGTGAGAACCTGTCTCTGGAGGAAAGACAGGAGCCCACGGGAGGAGGAGGGGACTCAGTCTATAACACCTGCACCCAGGCACTGCAGGACATGGTCCGCTTCTCACCTGCAGAGGCTGTTCAGTCAGTGTGAGGTGAATGTCATCAGGCTGCCATTAGTGGCCTAATGTTTGAGGACTTTAGTCAAGATTCTGCAGAGATAACTAGAGAGCAAGAGTGAGAGAGGAAATGAGGGAGATTTATTATTTTTGGGCATACTGGCACAATGTAAATTCAGAGAAGAGTTGATATTGGAATCTCTAGTCTGAGATTTGTAGGGCAGGCTGGCAAGGTGGAAACTCAGGCAGAATTTCTTGAGGCAGAATTCCTTCTTTCCCAGGAAGCCTTCATTTTTGCTTTTAAGGCCTTCAACTGATGAAATGAGTCCTGCTTACATTATAGAGTACCTTCTGCTTTACTTAAAGCCAGTGTAACTGTAAATGTTAATCACATCTGCAAAATACCATCACAACAACATCTAGACTAATATTGGACCAAACACCGGACATCATAGCTTTGCCAAGTTGATGCATAAAATTAACCAGCACAAGGGCCGAAGAACATGGCCTGTCCCATGGCTTCAGATCATACCTTTCATCCCTACCATGTCAGAGCATGCAGGAAGCCTTGCAAAGCCACCTCCCTTCTTGGGCAGAGACTCTATGGGCTTGGCCCCCACCTTGGGATTTGAAGGGTGGCATTACATTTGAGAGTTGCCTGTCATGGTGGTTTGTGCTCTGTTATGCCCAAGTCAGGCCTAATTAATGAACTCCTTTGGCTAAGTTTCTTAGTGAAAAACAAGAAGGTCACTCCGATTCAAACAACTACCGACCCTGGAATGCCAAGCACAGGGCCGAAAATTCAGATCCTGTTTATTTCGGGTCACACCACTGGATTATAAGCATCAGGCAGTTTTTTCCAAGGGGTCTTGGATAGCTTCTAAGTTCCCTGCTGTGGTCTTGACTAACTCTGACTACAGAGAAAAGGGGCAAAAAAATGCTCTGCAGTCCTCAGGGAAATGTCCAGTGAGCAAACACTATGCCATGGGAGGGCAGTAACAGGAACATCTGAGACTTCACATTTGTCTTTGTTCAGCTTTCCCAAGGCATGTTCCAGTCTGTGATTTCATGTTATTTTCAGTATAGCTTGGTGGGACAGGCAGGTAGACAGTTAACATCTGCTTTTTTTCCTGATTCAAGGAAATGCTATGTCCTGGTGCAATCACCTTGATCTGGATGGCAGATAGGCAAGTGCATGGCTGTGGAACCTGGCCAACTTGAGTTGGAATTCCTGCTGCACCCATTACTATCTGAGTGGTCCTGGACAAGTTACCACAACTCTGTGAGCCTCAGCTTCTATATCCATAGTAATGACTTTGAATGTTTGAAGTGAGGATTACACGTCACATGGCTTAATGTCTGCCATCCAATAGATGCTTGAAAAATGATGGTAACTTTTTTTCCAGGGAAAAATTTATCTGGGGGAAAAACCAGGGGAAGCTCTGAACATCCACTTTGAGTATTTTTATCATTACTGCAGTAGACATGCTGTGGGGTGCTGCCCACCATCCCCACAGCACCCCTCTCTGGCCCTGCTGAGATGCCAGCTGAAATACCTGGGTTTGTAATGACTGCCCTACCCTTAATTGCAGCTAGCTGAGTGACGGAAGGTTGCTTGACCCAGGATGGACTTGGATTCCTCTCCTGGGAATTTGGAATTGGGACATTGAAGGACTGAGCCATTGAGCTGTTGGGAACTGACCTGAAAGGCTGTGTGGTCTTGGGAACTGAGGCAACCGTGATGACTACTGTGTACACTGTGGTTGTGGCAGGGAAGCCCTTAGATGCAGAGAATGGGAGATGTGAGCGGAAGCATAATGAGGAGACATGGACCTTGAAGCCCTGGAAGATAGAGCCATCGTTCTTAACAGCGTCCTGGTTCCCATGAAGCCAGGCGGATTTTTCCTGCCCTTGGAGTCCATGGGACCTGTATTATAATGAGTCAGCTGCCATTTTGCTGACTGTCTTGAGTATCTATTCCTCATAATGAGAAGATCCATGATGAGGAGCAGAAAGATGAAGAAATAGGGGTTCTGAGATGCACAAATACTTGATGAGCTCGGTGCCCAGGGCAAGGCTCCTGCTCTTGGGTGCCATGTCTGGCAAGTACATGTTACCTCAGCCATTCTCTCTGGTCTTGGGCTGCTAATAGGGAGTCTGTGGAGGTAGATTGGGGAAGGAGGTGTGGCCTAGGAGGGAAGATGTGGTGCTAACTCTGCCTGATATTTTCCCTCACTGACCCCTGCTTTCCCCATGTTCTATGCAGCTGCTCATCTGGGCTCCACTCAGAGCAATGAAGGTGCCTCTGGTGTCTTCCTCTTTGAGTTGGGCACTGGTTCTCAGTGACTCTGTCTGTGTTTCTCTGAAGGGGAGAAGTTATTGGATTAGTGGAAATGAATCCTAGGGCATCTGGTTAAACTTGGTTCCCATCCAATGAAGTCACCTGGCTTAGAAGTCAGGTTTCCCTGATCTTTTGGTACTGAGTGTAGACCAAAGCAGGTAGACTAGGGCCTAAGCATAATTAGGAAAAATCTAGGGAAGTCCTGGGCACTCCCCCTTGAGTATTCTGGAGTAACTCGTCTGAGCTTAGGGCTCACCATGGGCATCATGGGGCTGGAGTTCTGCAAGGAGCCTGGGTACCACCTCAGACTTGACTGTCCCGTGGGCTGGAATAATGAGCATCCCACCAGGCTAGAATTGTGCTTCCCAAATTTGAGGGCACTGCATCAGAACCACTGGGGCATTTGTGAACACACACAGATTCATGAATCCCTTTCTGATTCACGATATACAGGATGAGGCCTAGGCAGCTCTAGTTTTAACAAGTATCAGGTTGTTCTGATCATCAGCCATGATGGAAACTGCCCTCACATAGGTGGGGCCTCACTGATGTCAGTCTTAGATTATTTGAAATAGTCCTTCGGCAAATACCATGCATGAAAATTTCTGTAGTCTAATTCTCACCCTCAAAATAGATGCTGTTACAGATTGAACTGTGTCCCTCTGAAATTCAAATGCCGAAGTCCTAACCCCCAGTACCTCAAGATGTGATCTTATTTGGAAATAGGCTTATTGCAGATATAATTAGTTAAAATGAGGTCCTGCCAGAGTAGGATGGTCCCCTAATCCAACATGACTCGTGTCCTTATAATTTAGACACAGAGACAGACACATATAGAGGGAAGATGATATGAAGAGACACAGGGAGAGTGCTATATGAATTATGCGGCCACAAGCCAAGGAACACCTGGGACCACCAGAAACTGGAAGAGGCAAGAAATGATCCTTCCCTTACAGGTTTCAGGGGAGCATAGACATGCCAATACTTTGATTTGAGACTTCTAGCCTCCAGGCCTGTGTAACAATAAATTTCCATTGTGCTTTCTGGTTTGCAGTAAATTACGATGACAGTCCTAATACTCTAATACAGATGTTCATAATTTTTTTGTTCTTTTTCACAACATTCTGTTTTTGTAAGCTGACAAATAATAACTGTATATATTCATGGAGTACATAGTAATGTTTTGATATAAATAATGTGTAGTGATCAGATCAGGGTAATAGCATATCCATCATCTCAAACATTTATAATTTGTCTGTATTGGGAACATTTGATATCATTCTAGCTATTTGAAACCATATGTTGTTGTTAACTATAATCATCCTACGATGATGTATAGCACACTTATCTAGTGGTAATATTGTATTCTTTAACAAATCTCTTCCTCTACCATTTCCTCTGCCCTTGAAATTAATTTTTTTGTTTTGAAAACCAGCTACTTTGTACGTCATTCCCTCCAGTTGATCTGCCTTCCTTCTTGGGTGTGAAATGAAGCTTCCGTAAGGCCTGGGTGTAGCCTCTGGGTGTGACCTCTGGCAGGGGCAGGGAGTAGTGAGTAACAAGCAGGAAATCTTCATTCCCATGAGAAATGTGACAGTGCCTCATGTCGCCAGTGAGGCCAAAGCCTTAACGTAGAAGAGGCAGGTTGCTTCTCCCTTCTATCCTTCCATATAAATCTGACAGACATTTTCAAAGGCCAAGCATCTATTAATGGCTGCTGATTCTCAGCATTTGGAGTTTGTGATTGTAGGTAGGACAGGAGCTCTTAATTCTAGCGTCCAGGTAGATTCGTATCACAGGGTTTAAGAACAGGGCTCTGTAGCCAAACTGCTAGGGTTTAGATCCTACTTGCTGTGTAGTTTTGCCCAGTTGCCTGGTCCACAAGTCCTCACACTTGAGTGCGCATCAGAATTCCCTGCAGGGATTGTTGAAGGCTAGATCGCCCCATTCCCAGAGATTGTGATTCAGTGTGTCTGGGGTGGGGTCTGAGAAATTTCATTTCTAACAAGTTTCCTGATGTTGACCATGCTGGTCCTAGGACTAACACTTTGAGAACTGCCAACCTTAGTTTCTCTAGGCCTCCGTTTTTCCATTTGTAAAGTGGGATTTGTTATGTTGCTAATTTATAGAGTTGTGAGAATAAAGTAAGATGATGAATGCAAAATGCTTAGCATATTGCTCTGTAGGAAGGTGAATGTTGGTGATCACTGGTTGTCATTAACATAATTTGAACCCCTCTTCTATGCTTGACTTGCTAAGTCTTGCTAACATTCAAAGGACATTCTAGATAGGGGGCAAGAAAATGTAACCTCCTGTTTTCAGGGAAGTAAATTATTCTCCTGAAATCACGGGACACCTATTGCTATGCTGAGGCTGCATCTCAAATGGATGCTCGTAGTTGGGCCCTAGGGGACGCCTTTGGAATAGGTAGGTTTAGGAGAGGAGAGGGGTTGGGTCTAACCTTCAGATTCGTCAAGCAGATAGCCCTGACCGTCAGGCTCAGGAGTTTGTGAACATTCCTGCATCCTGGGCCTACAGCTGGCTGCCTCTGCTGCTCAGGGGGCCCTGCCCATCTACTCACAAAACATTTTCTGGTCTGTGTCCTTTCCCACACTCCCAGTTAAACAGAGTGATTGTCTTGGTGTTCAAGTGTCAAGTGTTGGAGCCTTTCAGAAGCCATCGTATACGTTTGTTCTGCATCTCCTCCAATCTGGGCTGAGCACAGAGAAACAGACTGTTAATGGGTTGGTCTTCCTAACTCCATATGACACCCTGGCTCTGAGTCTTCTCATTAGCTCGGTACTTGGGATTTCAGCTCTGCAAGCAAGACAGTTCATGTCGATAAATGGTGCTTTGTCTCGGAGATTCTGGCTCCATCAGAGGACTGGGATTGTGCTTGGGAGCTGCTGTCTTGTTGCTAAGATTCTTGGACTTCATCCAAGTTCACATTTCCCAGGATCGTGGAGAACAGTTAATGATTATAAAGCTCTGAACATGTATATGCTGGTTTCATTCCAATACCACTAAAAGAGAAAAACCTTAATTACTGAGAGGACAGCATTTTTGGTTTTGTTTGAGTTTTATGTAGTTAAACTTTGAGGGCAAAAGTGAAGTCCTTTTTTGGATACGTGTTTTGGTAAAAGCTTCCCCCTCAATGCAGTAAACTCTTCTTGAGCACTGACTGTGCAAAACAGCCATGTGTGGGGTGGTAAGAAAAAGGCAAGCTTCTTCCATTTGGAGGAGGTGAAGTGGGTATGACGTAAAGGTGAAGCAAAAGGCTGCTGACTCTGGAGAGAGAAGATATAAAGACATCCTGTTTTCTGTCTTAATGTTTTAAAGTTCTTCTTTGCCCAACACATGAATCATTTCCCTTAATATGCTTGCCTCCCCCTGCTGTAGGGCAACTTGAATCGTTGGCAACTTCTAACAGGATCTTCTTGATGCCAAATTGTGTCTGAGTTACCCTCCCTCCTCCATCCTCCTCCCCAAATTCTAGTTTAGCTCCCTAAGCAGAGTCACCATTATAAGTTAGTGAGAAAACACCTTTGTTTTCTTGCTTGCTTATTTGTGGTATTTTTCTATCCAGTACTTTCACCTGATTATAGGTTTTAGTTCTATACTTATTCACTGTCTCTCCCACTAGAATATATTATCCCTATGGGTAGGGGCCTTCTCAGATAGTCTGACTTGGCAATCAAATTGAAAAGGCAAAAATGAAATCAAAGGGCAATTATGTAGCATATTAGTCACCAAATCCAAGTATACTACAATTTAGAATTACACTTTGAAGCTTGAACAAACGTTTGTTGAGTACCAATAAAAGCAGGGCCTGCTTTCTAGTTTTACACCATGGAAAGTAAACTCATAACTTAGCACTTTCCCCCTATTTTATTAGATAATGCTAGTTAGAAATAGGTTTTTAAAAAATCAGGCTTTACAAAGCTAAACACAGTCTTTAGTGTACAATCCAGCAACCATGCTTCCTGGTATTTACCCATATGAATTGAAAACATTTTTCCTACATAAAATCTGCACATAAATGTTTATAGCAGCTTAATGCATTATTGCCAAAAATTGGAAGCAACTAAGGTGTCCTAATAGATCAATGTATAAACTGGTATGTTCAGACAAAGGAATATTGCACAGTCATAAGAAGAAAGCAACCATCAAGCCACAAAATCCCATGGGAGAAGGTTAATTGCATATTGCTAAGGAAAGAAGCCAGTCTAAAAAGGCTATGTATGATATGATTCCAACTATATGACATTCTGGAAAAGGCAGAACTGTAAAGGAAGTAAGATGGGTGGTTGCCAAGGGTTAGCAGGGAGGTAGAGATGAATAGGCAGAGCACAGAAGGTGATCAGGGCAGTGAAACTATTCTTCATGATATGATGATGGTGAATACATGACACCATGGATTTGGCAAGCCCACAGAACTATACAACACAAAGAGTATACTTGATGGTAAACTGCAGGCTTTAACGAATAGCAATGTATCAATATTGATTGATCAGTTGTAAGAAATGTACCACACTAATACAAGATGTTAATAATAGGGGAAACGGCCAAATGCTGTAGCTCACGTCTGTAATTCCAGCACTTAGGGAGACAAAGGTGGGTGGATTGCTTGAGATCAGGAGTTCGAGACCAGCCTGACCAACATGGTGAAACCCTGTCTCTACTAAAAATACAAAAATTATCTGGGCTTGGTGGTGGATGCCTCTAATCTTAGCTACTCAGGAGGCTAAGGTGGGAGAATTGCTTGAACCTGGGAGGTAGATGTTGCAGTGAGCTGATATCTGCTACTGTACTCCAGCCTGGGCAACAGAGTGAGACTCTGTCTCAAAAAAAAAAAAAAAAGGCTGGGCATGGTGGCTCACACCTGTAATCCCAGCACTTTGGGAGGCTGAAGTGGGAGGATCACAAGGTCAGGAGTTTGAGACTAGCCTGGCCAATATGGTGAAACCCTATCTCCACTAAAAATACAAAAATTAGCTGGGCATGGTGGCATATACCTGTAATCCCAGCTACTCGGGAGGCTGAGGCGGGATAATTACTTGAACCTAGTTGCAGTGAGGCAAGATCATGCCACTGCACTCCAGCCTGTGTAATGGAGTGAGATTCAATCTCAAAAAAAAAAAAAAAAAAAAATGGGGGGAGACTATGTATGTAGCTGAGGCGGCGTGGGGAGTGGGGGCAGGAGGTGGTATATGAGAATGCTCTGTACTTTCCATTCACTTTTTCTGTAAATCCAAAGCTTTTCTAGGAAATAAAGTCTATTAATTAAGAAACCCAGCTTAATCAATTCATTTATTCATATATTCATTTTTCATTTTCAAGAAACATTTATTGAGCACCTAAAAGGTGTCAGTCATGCTGGTCACTACATAGCCCACACACTTGAGGTCATCTATGGCCCTTAGAGGGAGTGTCAATGTTGTTATTTAAAGAAACTCAGTTCTCTACAAGGTTGAAATGGATAATGGCAAACATTAATGAACACCCAAATGGGGCTCATTTAAAAACAAACCAGTTTTCATGAAAACGCATATCAGTGGGAGAGGTCTCAACCTTTGAGGATAAAGCCAAAGGCCATAAGACCTTTCCATAATCCATACCCCAAAGGATAATGATATTTAGAGCTCAGAAGCCTTTGCACATGGAAGTATAAAGGGAGGAGGGCTCAGCTACTATTAGATACAATAATTATGTCCAGAGAGAAACTGGGAGCACAACCTGGGCTTAAGAAGCAATTTATTGTTTTTGTAAACATTATTGCTTTTTCTACATTTATTTCTAAACATTTATTGCTTTTTCTAAATAAAAGTAACAGCTATTCTTCAGGTAAAGGAGAAATCCAACATCAGTAATTAGTGGGGCTTCTTCCCTCTCTTCCACTGGCATGTACAAGATTCCTGGTTCTGGGGAAATGTGGGAGGCACCCGAGCTATAGTAACTCATGGTAATTCCTTTGTTGCATTGCTCCTTCTGCTTCCCTGATGATGTCTGGTGCTGTGATCGTCCACTGTCCAACACAACTTCTTGGAACGGTAATATACTAGTCTTATGCTCCCCTGCAGATTTTAAACCTACTGACCACAGGCTCAGTCACAGGGACCATCTCCATGGCCCAAGGTCATTATGCTTAGTCTTGGGTATCTGGTAGTCACTTCCTACCCAAAATCTGGGCTCTGTGGGACACTGCATGGGAGCAGGGTATAGGACCCTGCCTCTCAGATACCCTTGCTCCTCTGCCCACCATTCTCTCCCTCCAGGAACTCTCTTTTCCTTTCCTTAGCTACTTCCATTCCATCTTGTATCAACCCTGTCTATATCCCAGTAGGGCTAGCCTTGGAAAACAAATGCCCCTAAACTCTTCCTTGGTGCAAGAGAGCCTCAGATTTCCTGGAGTAAAGGAATATAGGAGGAAGCAATAGGGAAAAGAAAATGTCTTTCTTTCTTTTCTGAAAAGCTTCCCCAAATACATTTCCCAGTTGGGTTATCCAGCCATGCTGTAATTGCTAGTAGTGAAAAACTTAGCTGTCTTTATTTTAAAAACAAACCAGTTTTCATAAAAACACATATCAGTTCATGTCAGGCTCTGGGCCCTGGGCCTTCAGAATATCAGGCATCCAGAGAGTGGAGTCTCATGGACCTGGGGGTGTTTCCAAAGTCAGCACAAAAGATTAAGAGCTTATGTAGTCAAAATTCCCCATGACTCTGCATTGGAAAGTGACCCTTGCAATATTTCACTCAGGCCGTCACAGATATCTTATTTTTCAGCATTCAAACATTTCAAACTCTCTTTGGATGGGCACAAGATGAATTGGTTGGCTTGCATTTAGAAGTCATGCTGAGTGAAAAATACCTTTGAATACAACAATCATCTTTAATGTCACGTGAAGCTCGCACTAAGAGAGATCCCAGGGGACCCGGCCCCGGTGAGGGATGGCAGGTCTTCCTTCTCATATTTATTCAGGGACATGTATTCAGGGAGTATAATGTCTGGTGGAGACATCGTTTTAACTGTTGTCTCTCTTCTTCCCTCTCTTTTCTCTGTGTCGCCATCTCTACTCCCCCAAGTGCATACAGTTGGCTTGGAATAGGAAGGAACTCCACTGCGCTATAAACGCCTGCCTGATCTCTGCCAGGCTCTGGGCAGGTTGAACAAGTCTTGCTCTGTTAGTATCACTTCCTAGTCTCTCTGACCTTCTATTGGCACTTTCTGTGGGCTCCCATCTTTGATTGTCCTTGATGGCTCCTGCTGTTTTTTGATTCCTAAAGTTGACTATATACCTTTCACTCTAGAGTGTGTTTAGTGAACAGTTAGGCCTTTGGATAATCTGGCTTTGGCCCAGACTCCATTTAGAGGCAGGCTATTTTAGAATTGATGATGATAGCCTCAGGCTCCCCTGCTCTGCTGTGATGCTGTGGGAGATCTTCCTTCCCAGTGTGTGGGCCTGCTCTTACTGGCCTTTTTAGAAACTAAGACTCTTCTATGTACTTCCATAAGTTCTTGCCTCAGGACAAGCATTTCTCTGCTAAGCACAATTTTGGAAATCCTTTCTCAGTGATCTTCGAGTTGTAATAAACCAAGTTGCCTGATGCTCATTGCTTTATCTAAGCTGGGAGTAGTGGGGGAAAAGGCTTTGCCTCAAGAAAGTGTTTGAATATTGGCCCTGCCTCTAGTTGTGTGACGCAGCACAAATTCTTTAGCCTCTCTGAGCATCTCCAGAGACTCCACTGTAAAATGGAATTGCATTACCTACCTTGGGGGTATTACAAGGAATAGAGTTAGACGAAAAGCCGGGCACACACAGACCTTCAACACCTGTTAGCTGTTAACTATTACCTCATTCTGTGGGGTTGGGGATGGGCTAGGTGAAATGTGGGACAGCTGCTTCTACTCAGAATGTTTGAAGCCATTGCTTCTCTTCCTTTGTATGGCTAGTCTGGTTTTGTTTTAGACCGAGGCAAAGCACAGCGGTGGAGACACACCTGGACTCAGGTTCCCATCCTGCCACTCAATTGATGCCACCCGTGGGTGAGTCTCCACTCTCTCTCAGCTGCTGTTTTCTCATTTATAAAATGAGGGTAATATTATCCAACCCCCTGATTATTGGAAGAGTAGGAGATAAGGTGTGTAAAGTGGTCAGTTCAGTGACTGCCTTGGAAATCATCACCTGGTGCTGGATGCGCCGTCTCTCCTCTCAGATCAGAAGTTCTTTGTGGGAAGGAATATGTCTGTGTCGCTCCCGGCTGAGTGACTGGCATGAAGAGAGGCCTCAACAGCTAGCAATGGATAAAACAAATAACTTCTGTCTCCCTAGTTCTCAGAAGACCCCATCTGAAGGCTGTAACATTAAGGTCTCATAGCAATTTAAAAGATAAATGAACCCAAAATAGGCTCCTACAGCATTAAATAGGGCAACTTTCAAATGGGTCATGATGGAAAAAACAAAAATCTCAACTGTGTTATGTAAAAGCAGGCTCACAGGGCTTGGTTCACATAAGAAAAAAGCTCTGGAAAATTGTACTTGGGATTTCAAACCGAAGGCAAAAACATTTGTGGTTAAAAAAAAAAATTACACATGATTTGCTAAACAATTTTAAGACAAAAAACAGTGTTTTAAATAAAAACACTGTGATCATAGCATCCCTGGAACTGTTATTCTGGTACATAGTTTCCCCTTTTCCAAAGTTTGAGGGCTGGGTTAGATCTAGGGGCCTTGCAGGCTTTGACAAGATGTTTGGATTTTTCCCAAAATGCAGAGGGAAGCCACTGGAGTTTTAGGCAGAAGTACGCTGTGATTAATTTGTGTTTTTTAAAGCCTGGACTTTTTCTCACTTCCCCCTGCTACCCGATGGCTGTTCTCCATCCTGCCTCGATCCTGCCTTCTGTGCTGTATCTCCTGTCAGTTTCTCTTTCTACACCCTCTCCTCCCCCACCCAAATCACTTGGTCAGCGGCAATGGCTTCTTTCTCTTTGCTCATCGCATTTGCTGGGATCTCATGCACACTCGGCCCCATGGTATTGCATGCTATTATTAGCTTCTGCATATGTTAATGAATTAATTCAGCAAGCATGTACTGAACAGCTGCTGCATGTCAGGCACTGTGCTAAGGGATAGGAATAGACGTGATTAGGACACGTTCCCTGCTCCCAAGTAGCCTGGAGTCTGGGAGTGGGGACGGCTATGTAAACAGTGATAAGCCTGGCAGGGTTTTTATGGAATCTGAGATAAGGGACCTCTAATCAAAGGGGGAGGCAGGAGGGGAGGGTGGGGCGGGTGAGGGGACTACTTCTGGATGAAAAAAAGGTTGGGACAGATTCTTCAAGGTTGACTAGGAGTGGCAGGGAGGGGTGGGCCCAGAGGGGTCAGGGTGAGCAAAGACGTAAGGCAGAAACAGGTGAGAAATTGCAAGCAGTTCATCCCTGATGCAGCATTTAATGAAAGGCTGAGAAGTGCAGGAGATAAAACTGGAAAACGAATGGGAACTGTGCGATACAAAACAAACACAACACCCAGGAATATCTAAGGTATTCTGGATCTGAACTGGGGAAAAGCCCCAGGGTGGGATATAGGAGGCCATAGATGGTAGTCATTTATTGATTCATTGAAATGCCGTCCTGAGGATACTGCAGTGAGCAAAACTGGAGGGGTCTCTGCCCTTGTGGACCCTGAGGAAGCCCTTGGGAAACAGCCCCGACCCAGCCTCAGGGCTTAGGAAGCCTTCATGGAGGTGATGTCCTCTGGTCAGTTCTGACAGTGGGCTTCATGGAGTTGAAGGGATCGGGAGTGAGAAAGCCACCATGCAAAAGAGGTCATGGTGGCCCACCTTTCCCTTGACCCACCCCAGCATTCCAGGCTCAAGAAACTAAGCCACAGATGTGGGCTGGAGAAGGGGATGAAAAGTAGGCCAGAGAGAGGCCTGCAGAGCCATCCTAACTGTTTTGCTGCCTCCCCAGTCATCTACTGGAACATGGACCTGCTTTGTAAACACAGCAAGTCAGCCCAAATATGTGGGGTTTGGCTCTGGCTTGGCCAACCCAGCTCACTAACCAAAAAGTAAGGGACTCTTCCCCCTTTTCTTCCTAAACTAAATCTTCTCTGGGTGCATAATTTACAGAACTCCAGCAAACTGCCGTTTGGCATTCTTCCGAAGAAAGAAAAACATCTCCTCAGATTTTCCACATGCCCTCCCTGTCCCGCTGGCCCAGTGACAAGACAGCCTAGCAAGGCTGGGATAGGGCTGCTGCTGCTCCAGGGAAGGGCGGCCATGGGGGATGTGCCACCATCCCAGGCGAGCAGCATGGACTAGAATTTCAGGAGCTAGTGCGAGAGTGGGAACTAGGTGTGTGGTTGGTGTGGGGACAGAAACTTGCACAGACAGCAGCACTGCTAGGAACCATGCGGGCATCAGCAGACCCTGGAACAGCTCATTAATGTTGACAAAGCACCTTCTCATTTCATTTGATCTCCCAACGAATGCATGAGACAGGTAGAGCACATGTGATAACCATTCCCATTTAACCAATGAGTTAACAGGCAACTTGAAATCGGCCTGACCCAAGTTAGAATTCCATCTCTGCCATTGTGTGACCTTGCGCAAGGTGTGACATCTCTTGCAGCCCCCTCTGTCTGTTGGAGTAATAATAGTACTTTCCCCAGGGTTGTGCTGAGGGTTTAATGAGATACTGTGAGCGAGGAGCTCAGTGGTCCATGCCTGGCCCCCAGCAGGTGCTCACCTGGCTCTATTATAATGGCTGGAGAGGTTACCTGACTCCTCTCGGTACTGCTGGGACCATGACCCAAGTGTTTTGACTTTCAGCACAGCCTTTTATATTGCTTCAGTTACCCCTGTGCCCACCAGGCCAGTCCTTGCTCTGTCCCCTGTCCCCCTCACCTCCTCACTTCCCCCTCCTTCCCTATCCCCTGCACTCCCCCAGCCAAAGATGTTGCAAGCTTTGAGGTTACTCATGTGCTCTCATCTCAGAGATCTATGCTGACAGCTGAGTGGTCTGTAAGTCCACCAGGGCAGTCCTTAAGTCCAAATTCCTGCCCTGCTCTGTGGGAACAAGTGACCCTAGAAACTGCATAATGGGTGAAACTTAAGCTTCAGAACATAAGCCCCAGTTCATAGTCTGCCTGTTTCCTCTTATAGTCAAGGGCGAGTATCCAAATCCCCCTTCATTTATCATTGTCATTGCAGCTCCAAAAGGTCAGAATGCATTCCTCTCATTGCCTCCAGACACTTGGCTCTGTGCTGTGATTGGACTAGGAGGCACAGAGCCTTGCATGCAGACCGCTCGTGAATGTTTGTAGAGGAGGAGTCAGGTCATGCCCCTTGCCAGGGCCTGAAGGGACTATGTTATCACAGTATATGGAAAAACAGCATTTCCTCATTGGGCCAGCTCAGTGGCTCCTTTGTCATAGACCCAGATTGTTTCCCTAATGAAAACTTGACAATTTTTGTAACTGTTTCCTCTGCCCTCTCCCCTCAGAATTCTTAGGCTCTTTGTTGTTTCCTTAGGGGCCTGTCTAATCATCCCATTGAAAGTGACTCCTCCTGCCCTGCCCAAGGCACTATCTCATCACTTTTTTTTCATGCTACTCCTTACTCTCTGAAGTTATTTCTTTGCTTATTATCTTTGTGACTACAAAGCAAGCTCCATGAGAGCAGGGCATTGTCTATCGTGGTCACTGGTATCCCAGTGCCTGGCATGCATGTAGCTAGAACACAATATTTATTCATTTATGGATAAGTGAAGCAACCTGAAGATCATGAATTCCAATGTCTTCATTTTGCAGACAAGGGAGCTGACACCCAGAAAGCTTAAGAAGCCTAGTGTCAATTCTCTTGGGCAGCATGTGATTACCATTCCCATTTAACCAATGAGTTAACAGGCAACTTGACATGAGCTCTTTCTCCAGGATATTTTTCCTCAATTCTGAAGGGCCTCTGCAGCCAACGTGTAGTGGTCTGCTTTTCTATTCACGGAGGAGGATGACTTTGTGTCTCTAAAGAGTTTCAGCACTAAAAATGTGTCTGACATGTACCCTAATAAGCCAATGGACAGTTTGCTCATTTGGGCCGAAAATGGAAAACACACATGTACATAAAAACACCCTGAAAAGAAATTACCATGGACCCACTTGTGGGTAAGGATTGATTGTATCAAATGATGTCATCTGTTGGATGTTAGCTAGTTAACTGTGTCATGAGTATTGGTGTTGGGGGAGATGTTTCCCCTCTAGATTCTGGGGGAAGGATAAGGGAGCAGTGGGCTGAGAGGCTTCCTCAGAGTAATTTGAGGATTAACTACAAAGAGATGCATAAAGGGTTCAGCATGGTACCTGCCCAGTAAGGGGTAGTTCTGTTAACATCCCTAAAGATGGATGATTCTGGCTGAGGACTTGTTTGCTTCTCTGTTTCACTGACTCCCACTGATTTCTCATATTTATCTCATGGGAGATGACAGGAGATGACTCATACTAAGTAGGAAAATGAACCAGCATGCTAGCTCTGGTAAAATGTTGTGTGGGGCAGTAAGGAGCTAATAATAATAATTATAACAAACCTCTACTTCACTTATACAGTTTTTATGTCCCAGCCAATGGGCTAAGGGCTTAGGTGTGTTACCTCACTCAATTGTATGAGGTTGGAACTATTTTTGTCCTGCTTAACAGATAAGAAGCAACCATTCAATCCTATGCGAAAGGAACTATTTTTACTCCTATTTTACAAATGAAAAAATGAAATTTGGAGAGGTCAGGTGGCTTGCCCAAGATTACTCAGTCAGAAAGGGGCACAGCCAGAAGTCCAGCTGTGGCATGTGATCTGACTCCAGAGCTCAGGTGCCAAAATACTCCCTGTACTGCCTCTCAGGAGGCCGGACACAATGGCTAAATAAATTAGGGGCTGTAGAGTTTTGGTGACTCAGTCTTGTGTTGTCTCTAGCCCTTGGTTTTGTTAACCTGTTATAGACAGCACATGTCTAGTAAGAATTCATAGCCTATATTATCACAAACTAAAGAGAGTGAGTTTTAAGAGAAGACACCTGGGGCAGCATAAATGATTGTCATCGCCATGATGATCCAATGAAGTGGATTTCCAAGCAATGAGCATTCTGTGCTCTTAGCACACCACCTTGCACCTGAAAGCAGGGATTGCATTATTTGTGTTTGATTAAATAAAAAAGTATACAAAAACACTGGCTCAGTGCCTGGCAATAAGTAGACAATTGCAAGATACTGTCACCTGTAACTTTATTTCCCTAATGCCTAACACAGTGCTTCGCACATGGTATGTGCTTAATACATACTAGTTTTTTTTTTTTTTTAACTAGTAAGCACTTAGTACTTTATTGAGGTTCCATGCTAAAACTTTCCAGACAGTATCACTTCTGCTCCTTATACTCATTCAATGAAGTAAGTGTGGTTAATAGTCCCATTTAGCAATAAGGCTTCCTTTAACAGAAGAAAAAAACAGGCGTATGGAGGTTAAATACTTTGCTCACGGACGCAGAGCTATCAAGCTGGTAAGTGGCAGAGCCAGGGGTTTAAGTGAATGGGTTATCAGACTCTCCTTTGATGGTTCCCATCGTGACCAGAGGAGATGAGTGTCTGTCATTCTCTAGGTGATCTGTGGGTCATAGCTTGAGGCTTGCTGTTTCTTAGACTCTTTTTTTTTTTTTTGAGATGGAGTCTCACTCTGTCACCCAGGCTGGAGTTCAGTGGCACGATCTTGGCTCACTGCAACCTCTGCTTCCTGGGTTCAAGTGATTCTCCCACCTCGGTCTCCCGAGTAGCTGGGACTACAGGCGCACACCACCACGCCTGGCTAATTTTTGTATTTTTAGTAGAGATGGGTTTTCACAATG